GCGGAAGAGGCGTCGTGCGGGACGGCAGCGCCGAGGCGGGAAGACGCCGCGGTGAGCCCAGCTGAAGTTGGGGGGGTGGTGTGGAGGTGTGGGGGTCCTGCGAGTGGGCGGGCGGGTGGTGGCTGGGGCAGCTGCCTCTGGGTCCCGCTTTCCTTCGGTGCAAGGACTCGGAGCTTCTGAGTCCGAGCTGCGCCCTCCTGCCTTGGCAGGAGCCGTCCGAGAAGAAAGGGGAGCCGTGGAGCGGGACGGCGAGGCAAGAGCCAGGAAGAAGAGCGTCGGCTTCGCGCTCAAGAGGGGGCGGGAGAAAGGCCCTCTGGGCAAAGGCCCCTCCCTGGCATCCCCGGGGCAGGGATCCCTAAGAGTCCGGCGGGCAGCTTCCGGCTGCGCCGGCCGGCTTGGCGCTGGGCGGACCTCCCTGTAAGCAGGGCTGGGTCCTTTGCTTGGCTTGGCGTTGGCCTTTTGCCATCGCGCTCCTGTGGCTGCCCGGAGAGAGGGGCAACCGCCCTGTAAGGAGGGCGAGAGTGCCCGCCTCCGCGCCCGAGGGGGGAAACGGAGCTCTCCCGACCCCCAGCCCGCCCTGTAAGCAGGGCAGGGCTTTTTCCCCTTGGCACCTTGGGTGCCTGCTGGCGGCCCCTGGCCAGCGTGACCCCCCGTAGTCGGGGTGTGTCACAGCCTGTGTCCCTTGCCCCTCAGCACGCCGCGGCCCTTCTGGCCCGTGCGCAGCCCGGGGGTCAAGCCCGAGGCTGTCCTCTCCCGCTCGGCGGCAGGGCCGGCTCCCCCCCGGCTTGGCGCACAGAGCTTGCTCCCTCTTCTGGGACGTTCCCCCTTTGTGTCCTTGTCTTGTGGGTGTGAGTGAGTGAGCGAGCTGGTCCCTCCTGTAGGCCCCGTAGAGACGTAGGCAGCGTAGCTTAGACTTCCCAGGAGGGAAAGAGGGGCTCTGTGCGCCAACCCGTGGGGAGCCAGCCCTGCCGCCGAGCAGGAGAGGAGAGCCTCAGGCTTGCCCCTTGTCCCCGAGGACGGAGCGAAGCCCGTTAGTGGCGGCGCGGGCACCGCCACCCGCGCCGCGGGGCTGCCCGTCCTGCTGGCGATGTGCCAGCGTGGGCCTCCCCCCGTCGTCGGGGCTGGGGCCCTGTCCCCGCCGGCCTTAGGCCGCGAGGCCGTTGTTGGGAGTGCCGGGCCTCGGGGGGGGCGGCCCCCTAAGTGGGGCTTTGCGCGTCCCCCCTGCTCGGCGGGCGGTTGGAGGGACCGCCTGTAATCAGGCCGGTGTCCCGCGGGGTCCCCCGGCCTCTCACAGGCGTGGGGCTGGGCGTGTGCCCTCCCTGCCCTCGGGGCCCAGCTCAGGGCCTTAGGCCACGAGCCCCAGTGCCTGGCCCTTGAGCCAGGTACTTGATGCTGCGGGGGAAGGCCGAGCTCCGTGGCTCCCTGGGCGTGGACCCGCCTGTAAGCAGGGTCCGGGTCTGGGAGCCTTTGCGCTCCCTCAGCTGGCAGCCTGTGCGGGGCGACCGCCCCGTTAGCGGGGAGCGGGTCAGGTGCCCCCCGAAGCGGAGAGAAGGAGCCTCCGTAGGCCTTTGGGCCCAGGGCCCCCCTGTAAGTCGGGGCCAGTGCCCTGGTGTCCCAGGCGCTTTGTGGTCCAGGCAGCGGCCGGAGCCCCCTGTAAGCAGGGCGGCAGCCTCTTTGGCCGCTGCCTCGCATGCCCAGCTGCCTTTGCCCAGAGGGCCCGGCTCCCCGCAGCGGCTGGGACTGCGCCGTGCGTCGCCGTGGTGAGTCCAAGTGCAGCTTGGAGGGTTTCGTGGGAGTGGGGGGGGGCCTGTGGGTGGGCGGGGAGGGGCTTGGAGATGTGCCTCCGGGGGCGTGGGGTCCGGGTTGCCTTGGGTACGGAGGAGCTGGTCATTCTCGGGCCCACCTGCCTCCTCCTGCCCCGGCAGAAGCCGTCGGAGAAGACAGCGGAAGAGGCGTCGTGCGGGACGGCAGCGCCGAGGCGGGAAGATGCTGCGGTGTTACTAGCTGAATTTGATGTTTGGTATAATTTACCATGACTGTTCCCAAGAGACTAGTTAGAGGGAGGATAGAGCTTCTTAATAAATATTATTATTTTTAAATTATGACCGAAACCTATTGGTTAAGTGCACTAACAGAAAGAGTTTGTGGGGCAAAGATTGCGTATTGATCACTGAGGTGGTCTAGTGTTTTTTAATTTTCCTGAATTAATTAGTATAGATGAAGGGGGTCTCAGTGATACCCTATGCTGCCTTTGTAAATTATTTATATTCTATTGTCGTGTCTACTAAAGTACAAGTCCCTGCTCTCTGGGCTGAATAATAAGGTACTTTTAGCAGCAGATGAAAAGAATAAAAAGAAGTAATCAAAACCAAAGCTTTCACCTTCTTTCGTCCTGATATTCACTTGTCCTTCTACCATTTAGCAGGCCACAAAATGAAGGACTAGGATTAAATTATTTGGCTGCTGGATTATCTCTGTGTCTGTTATTAGTAGAATATCTGTTCTAAGGAGAGCTGTAACCCATCTTAATGCAAGATCCAGAGAGGATCGCTCTGCATGTAGTCACGGTGTGACAGAGAATAAACGTTTATTAAACACGGATGCTGGCTTTTATAGGGAGAGCAGGGACTTTTGTGGAACAAAGTGTGGAGAGTGGGAGGAGTATTCCAGGAGTGGCAAATAACAGCAACAAGGGGTGGAACTGTCTGAACATGGACAAATGGGAAACTGTCTCTGGGTAGAACAGGTGAAGCAGGGTAGGATGAATAAGGAAAGGGCTTACATTGAACAAATAGAAAAAAGGGTAACAGGGATACAGCGCACGGAATAACGCATTTTTATAATAAAATATACTAATAATAAAACAATTGCACAACGGAGTAAAGGCACAGTGAAACAAACACTCTCGTGGTCCCAACAGTCATATTCAGCGCACCACGGTGTAAGTACATTCCAATATTTTTTCTTCCTCTTCTTCTGGTTTCTTTTTACTAACTTCTCTCTACCACTCATAGGTCTCCATCAGGGCACCTCCAACAAATACCCATGCAAACCATTGAGAGAGCAGCATATGAGCAGGTGAATCAGACTCTGTGGGGTCACTGTACATCCAACTAAGCTGCACTCTGGCATTAGAAAGACTCAAAAAGCAAGATAACCCACTTAAATTTTTGCTAAATATTGAACTAGATGAAAGCTAATAGATGTGAACTTTCATTGTCTAAAAAATCTGACCTAAAAAGAATAGGAATTCTGCAAATGACCAGCCTGAAACCTCCCATCATGCTTGCACCTGCTCATCCTTTAAGGTACTCTCTGTAAAATAAAGATATGATTCACTAACAGGAGATATGAAACACTGAAGTGGAGGAACTAAAATTGCAAAGCTACCACCATGTCTTCCAACAGCTTAACCATCATTTCAATCTGGTCATTGTTAGGGTGCAGTCCCATTGTTTCTTTGTTGTATAAGTTCTCTCATTAAATTGAAAGGTGGTTGGCAATGTAGACCCCTCCCCCCTGTATTTTTACCTGTGCAGTGCCTTGCACAATGAAATATTTATCTCCAAATGGAGATTCCAGACCTTATTACTTCTTGAATAATACATGTACCTTGAGTTATAACCTCCCAAAGACCTATTTACAAGTCAATTTTTTTTTCTGTCTATTCAGCACTGTGCTTCCTGACTACAGCGAATGATAGTATTTTCTTACTTTACAGTTAAGGTTGTATTTTCAATAACCTCACCTTGTCTATGTACATGTTATATGTTCTTTCTTCCCTTAGATAAAGTACACCACTTATTTACACTAAACTACTTATTTAAAAGAAACTCTTTTTCTTCCTCAACTCCAGAAAAGCTGCCATTGGCAACTTAATCTAATGAGCAAATTACCCCAGTGGATGAGACACCAATTTTAATGAAAAGAATTTGCCCTGATCACCAAGATTGCTTGGTGGGGAAAGCCAGTAGATGAAAAAAGTGTAGACTCTCATGACAAGCATCTACAAAGGCAACATCTTCTATATTCCTCAGATCCATGCTCCACCTTTCATAAACCACTTGAGAACAGTGGACAGTGCTTCCACTCAGAGCACCTTAACATGAGAGAAAAGCATTCTATTAGAATTGTGCCACGGTCGGGGGGAGAGGGGAGTGGGACTGTGACACTGCACAAAGAGCCCGAATCGAGATTGAAGATCGGGTGCAATGGCTGTTTATTGAGGGTGTGGGAGGGTTTATATAAGATCTGGTGTAGAAAGAGCCAGCAAATGGGGTGGAGCATGAGACAGACAACCAGGGAAACGAATAGGAGTAAGGAGTCGGGAGAAAAGGGAGGACCAATGGTAGCTCTCTCCACACTGCAGCTTTTTCAGCCAATCAGAGGGAGGAGCGGGGAAAGCAGGGAACAGAAACTCGAGGCAAGTCTGATCATGTGCAGGCAGTACAACTATAGGGGTAACATACAATGCACATATTTGAAACCACATAAGAACTGTAAAATCCATCGAATAAAGTCCTTTTTCAATTGTTGTATATCTTTTTCTATGCCTGGAACAGAATTGTGTCTTACTAATTTTTATAGAGCAGGGAAAGAACTAAGACAGCATAAGTTGCTTGCCTATGCACTCATAAGTTTATCCTGAGTCCTCTACACAACTGAAGAGAAGAACATTTCTGAGGATTTTCAAAGTGCTACTTTACTAAGACCTTAGCCCAGACACACTGTCATTTCTGCAACCCTGTCTCTCAGGCTAAGGAGGCCTCAGATCAGCTGCCCTCTGAAAGGCATTCACAAAAATAACTGAACTTAGTAAACAGACGTAATAGTGAGTCAAGTGAGTCAAGAGTATTTGTGCTTAGTCACCTTGGATTTTCAGGTATTTTTAGGAAATTCCTCTTTGTATATTTAAGAGTAAGTGGCTTTGGGAACGTTACTAAGCAATGGTGCTTCAGGGAACAGTCTAAACTAAAATCTTTTTCTACATAAAAAAAAAAAGTTCCTCAGCCATTGTGTATTGATCTTGGGGTTTCTGAGATGGACTCTACCTTCCAAGGGAAAGTCTGACTAAAACACTTAATGGAAAAGCTGACGTTGCCTTCCTGGTTACATGGACTTCATGCATTGAATGTTTTTTAGATATTCAATGAAATTACATTTTAGTAATTCACTGAAACTCTTTCAGAGTCAAAACACGTGATGGTCCAGAACAGTGGAAAAACTGAAAATGAAATGACACTTCACTTAAACGTGTTGATTAAGCTAAAAGCTTCCAAATGCTAAGAACTAAAGATAAGGCACTCTTCCTTGCAGTGGAAAACTGAATTAGTTATAACAATTAGAACTGCCTTTTGTGAGCCTTCTGAGTGATTAGTGGTTTCATTACAGGTAATGTTGACAGCATGACAGCTCTCTGTGAGAGTATAAGTACCTGTATACACCTCACACACTGTGCTTACCTGCTTCTGGCACCCAGAAGAAACTGTCAATATATACAGTGACATACTAGAATGGACTTCCCAAATTCAGTCTCTGCTATCAGCCAGCTATGTCACGCAATCCTTTTCATAAACATATTAAAGAACACCTCCAAAAATATCAGGGGAGAGAGGGATTTTTACTCTATGTTTACTAGAAGAACAGTGTAGACACTCAAACATCTGACATTTAGAAATTTCTGATTTCCTGCCTAAATGTAATTAGGACTCAATTTGTTCTTCTGCTAAATTTTCCTTTTAGGTAAATGGTTGTTTTGTCTCTCTGATGTTTTTCAACCAATACATTCATATGCAGCAATTGCATTTCCTTTAAGCCTTTGCTTTGTTAAGTTAAACAAACCAAGTTATCTTACTCCTGTTTTCTCAGGATAAAACGACTTCGTCCTAGACTGTTGGCCTTTGTAGATTTTTTCTGGCTTACATTATGGCATTCATTTATCCTTCTCAAACAGGAGTTCCTGTATATAGTGAGAACAGTATTTATTATTGCATCTGGCTCTTACAGGAGGGATCCATCTCCCCTCATCTCTACTCACTCAACTCAGCAAAGATTTTTTTTTCAGGGCTGCATCATATAGTCAGGTCTGTCCAATTTGAGTCTTCTCTGCTACTGAATTTTGAACAGGTAATCATCCAGCTGACAGCAAACACTCTTTTTATCTACCTAAATCAGGAGTTTGCATTTTATATTACTAAATTGAAATGCATTTCTACAAGCGAGGTAGTTTAGCATTCCTCAGGCATTTGCAAGTCCCTTTGGGAAATTCAGTCTTCTCCATCTTCAGGGCAACATTTTATCCCATAGTTCTTAGCAAAAATACGAAATAAAACTGGTTACTACCACAACAGAGTAGATTCGCTATTATTCCTTCTCCAGTACTATATTTATGCTTTCAGCATAATCTCCTTTTAATTCTAAATGAGGTGCTTTAAGCCATTCAGGAATTATGTTTATAATTCTTATACTAATACCAATTTTTCAATTATCTAACAGGTAATTTTCTGTAAATATATTATGCTTTATCTCAAACCTCTTCCTGGTCTCCAACTATGATGTTTATATACTTTTTTTACTATAAGATGCTATTTCTTTTTGCAAGATACATTGACAGAACCCAAACCAGAAATATGGTGGTTCCCAGCACAGTAAGATTGCTTAAGAAGTCCCTCTGGTAAATCATATGGTAAGAGATTCTAGAACTTCTAATGTTTTGTCATGGTAGACTAGCCAGAGGGGTATTTCCATGTGGTAGACAGAGTATAAAATTTTGTAATAATGAGGGCCTAGTCCTTTTTGTCCCCCACCCTTTTTTTCTTAATTCCTTCTTGTGGTGGGTTGACTGCATCCAGCAGCTGCACCACAAGATGAGGGAGAGATTTGGAAGAGCAGAAGTGAGAAAATTCGCCAGCCCAGATAAAGTCAGTTTAATAACTGAAAGTGGTAGAAAAAACCCAAAACAAATATTGCAAAGGCCATCACTCACCACTTCCCTCAAGTACAGCAATGCCCAGCCAGTCTCTGAGCAATAGCCACCTCCTCAAAAACCCCCTTCCCCTAGTTTGGGATCAATGCTGAGCATGACATTATTTGGCATGGAATATCCCTTTGGTCATTTTGGGTCCCCTCCCAAGTTCTTTCCCCCTGCCCCAGCCTACTCACTGAGAGAGCAGAGCAGGAAAAAGAGAAAACCTTGCCTGTGTGCAAGGACTGCTCAGCAACAGCCAAACACTGGTTTGTTACCAACACTGCTTTAGTCCCTGATCCAAAACACAGCACCATGAGGGCTGCTTTGAAAAAAATTTACTCTGTCCCACCTCCAAAGCCTCAGCCAAAGCAGAGGAGCTGACTAAAGCACTTTCAGCTGACTAAAAGATGTTTTCAAGGACAGCATGTCAGTGCTGCCAGTGTGTAAAGGAAACACATGAAAGTTGTCAGGGTTTAATTAACTGAAGGACTGTTATAAATGGAAAGTGTATTTTGAAAATTTCAGAATGGTCATGATTAGCCTCAGAAAGTAAAAAAAAAAAATGGGGCTGTCAAGCATCTCCTGTCTTTGAAAGAGAGATTACTTGGTTTAAAAAAAACTGGACAGACAACAGGAGCAGCAGGGACACTGTACTACACAGATGCAGGGCCTGATGGAACCGCTAACATCCATGGATCCAGCAGCACTTCCTAGATTGATCATGGCTTGGGGGAATCTTTCACAGGACAAAGAATGCCTTGGTTTTGTATTGCCAGCAAGGCTACTCAGTTAGAAGGCACTAATGACAATAGTATGATTTTAGAGCACTTCTAGGAGGTCAGGATGCTGTTTCACATCTCAGTTTGTGCCAAAGAGCTGGGGAGTAGGGGAGCAAAGCAGGGATACCAAATAAAGAGCAGGCAACAGGTTTGATCCTAACTGTAACAGTGAAGATTTAACTTGCATCAGTGCTTTCTGATGTGTATATAACTGATTCATTAACAGAATCCTAGAACTAGATCAATTTTTAAAATAAAATTACCATAGTAAGCAATATTCCAGCACATACATCTTTATAAACAAAGTCTAGAAGATACAGAGGCTTGCTGCTGTCATCTATTCATATAGTGCTGTTTGAGAGAATGATGCAATCTTCCTGCAACCTAATTTTTCCCCCATTTTTATACTCATACTCTTTTCCTTTTTTTTTTTTCTTTTTTTTTAACTCTTTCTTGAACCATTTGCTCAGTTCAAGCACTTAACTTTCTCCACTGGAACTGTTGTTTTATGTTTAAAAGGAAAGCATATAGGGAATTGATGTACAGCAGTTCTTTTAGGAGTATTCACAGTCTGCTTTGCAAACCCTTTTGGAACAATACTCACTACTCCCTGACCTTCTTCCCCATCCCCATCTTCTTCTGCAGATATACTTCCTTCATCATGGCCCACCCAGAAGCACTGCCTTATCTCTGTCCCTAGAGTGACTTACCTGCCTCAGGGGACCAATAAACCAAGGGAATTCCCCTTCACAGAAGGGAAGCTGCTATTTCACCTAAGTATTACAGACTGTGTTACAAAGAGGTTCAAGAGAAAGGCATGAAACTGGAGTGCTGGTGCACAAAGGCAAATTGTTTGCTGAAGTGTAAAGAATTTGTTCTTGCCTAGTCTAAATTTCATACATTCCTTTTCTCTCACTATTGTTCCAAAGGCATAAATATATATAAATAAACAGGGATTCACATGTGTGTAAGTGTATAATGATTTTTACTAATGGGCACTTCTAACTGCAATAAGTTCTTGCTGCACCAAATTCAGGCATATTCTTAGAGATGCACTCAGTATGTGTAGTTGAAAACCATAGAAACCGTTCCCTGAATTTAAATCTGTAAACATGAATTGAGAAAATTTCACTGACAATTCAGACCGCCTCTTATTTTACCTGAGCTTTAAACTAGTTTTCACTTCTTGATTTTTCCTCTGATTTTATATTTATAAAAATACTTCCTAGCACATCCGTAACATTTTATGGTACATACTCAACTAGCATATTCACTTCTTCCTTAATAACTGATACCTTAGGGTTTGCAGAGGTCTGAACTGCACATACATCCATAATACAAGAAAGCACTAAACCAATGTATTCGTTGAGATAATGAGACAGGAAAAACAAACAAAAAAGACACCACTGCTGTAGCTGATTTCACTTTTGAAAGAGTCCACTAGATGTCTTCTGGCAAATTACTTACACAGTTATTTAAGCCAATGGACAGCTCTGGGAATTGTTTCTTTGCCTCTTAATAGAATTCTAAATTTCTTTGTTTTCTTTCTTTTATTGCCATTGGTTGCATCAGACATCGG